AGGTGGGGGCAGGTGGGGGGAAGGGGGAGGCTGCTCTTTACAACCACAAGTTCTCCAAGCCCAGGACGTGTTCAGGGTGCTTTCCCCGGCTTACGAAGGTCGTCCCACCTGCACACAAGCACCCTTGATCGTCGATGGCTGCGAGCCAATGCTATGGCCTTTTGCCCTGCACACTGCAGCTTTAAATAGTGGTACCTTCTACAGACACGTCCTCTAGGGACAGGAGACCTGTGCATCACACACCAAGGCCACGGCACAGACTACTGAACACCAGCTGCTGTTCTTTCCGAGGTGCCTAGAGATCAGGTTTAGTGCCCCCCAATCTGTTTAAACGACATAAAACAGTACTGGTTTTAACGACAGAAGTTTCTCAAATCCCAAGCCATAGGAGACAAAATAAACCAGCCACATGGCTTAATAGACTCCACAGAGCACTGCTGTAAACGCCACACAGACCTTAGAACAAACACCACACCCTTCCTGATAAATAATTCCAAGGGCAAGGCGCTTGGCCGAGTGCGGTCTGAAGGGCAGTGAAACGGGCTGGTCGATCCTAGTCACCTGTGTGGAGGCGGCAGGTGTCGGCACTTGGCTCCACCCTTTCAGCTACTTACCAACAATCTGCATAAGTTCACACCAACATGTAAAAAGCAGCCAGTAGGCGGGAAGGATGGGACACAATGGAATTTAAATGACATCAAGGCTCAAAGAGTCAGTCCCACCCGTACCAGCCAAAATGCCAAAGATTCACAGCAACTTATGCATTTAAAAAAAAAAAGGCGTAGGGACTGTAGAAGTAGTTTCAACATAGGCCCACAGAGATGTGACTGCTCACAGAGCTAATTCAACCTTAGGCTGCCTTCCCAGGACGTCAACTGCCAAGGGAGTTACTACACTTGACTAAAACGAGCGCTGCGGGGGTTCTGGGCGCTGCATTTTGAGGGGGCGAGGGCACATCCAAGGTATCTGAAGGCCCTGCACCCCCTTGGTGAGTCAGGAGTCACACACACTTGGAAGGGGAAGGAAGGGAGACTGCTGTCTCCACAGTCTGAAGGGCTGACGCGCTGATGAGGAACAGACATGTCTCGGGTGGTTCCAGGGAACAGAAAGTCAAGAGAGGAACATTTTAGTTCAGTACAGGTAAGAATGTGTCAGAGGCCAGGGCTGTTCATCACTGGGCTTGACCCACCTGGAGGGGCAGCGACACCTTACTACTGAAGGCCAGACCTGAGGACCCAAGGAGGTTTCCACCCTGGAAGGAGGTCAGATAGGAAGGCCCCCCCCACACACTGCACCTCCCTTTCCCCACCCCCACATTCCCCCCAGGACGGCCTCCCTGACTCCCACTCAGGGCACTGCGTCAGCGCAAACTAGTGAGGGATGTCAGGACAGGCTCCACCGCTCTCAGTTACTCTATAAAGTAACAACCTGCCGTTTTTAGTGCTCTGACAAAAGTCAGGGACACTACAACTACTAGTAAAACAGGCTCCGGCAGTTTCTGTGTCTCACGGAGATACCGGGGACAATGCCCACAGAGACAACATTCAGAGTCTACGCGTCTTATGTCGTTTCCCACAACGTTTTCCTAAATACTATACTTAATTTCATCTTAACAGACTCCAGAATCAAAATGACTAAGCTGAAACAGACTTTCTAAAAACCTCCTGAAGTTCTACAACGCTTGCAAGCGAGATGTCTATGCAGGAAGTCCTCGGGCTGGCTGCCGGGAGAACTGACCCGAATTCCTCTGCCCAAGCGGGAGGGGGGGCCTCGGGAGGGATGTGCAGAGTGAGAGCAGAATCACCTGTACTTGCAGGTGTCCCTTCTTGCCCACTATTTCCATGCTTCCTGAAACCCATGGCTAAGTGGATAAGTGGCCACTGCAGTGTCCACACAGATGCCTAACCTCTGAGGCCCCCTTCAGATTGCACCCCAGGCACAGATTACAGACCCCAGGGGGGTAAATGACCAGCTAGTCAAACTCCAAAATGAGGTCCTACAAAGCACTCGTCGGAAAGAAAGGAGAGCATTCCTGGCAAAGTGGTCCCCCGCCTCCCTGCACCCCACCCCACGGCCCACGGCCCGGCTCTACCTTTCTGCACGTGGATGATGTCGGGGAAGTTGGCCAGGTGGCCCTGGTACAGCGCCAGCAGGTCCATGACCGGGTCCAGGTCCTGCCGGGGCTGCTCGGCGAAGAGCTCGCCGATGGCGTCGTAGGCGTCGCCGGTGAAGGCGATGGCCTGGTTGAGGCCGGCTGAGAAGGCCTGCTGGTCCAGCTCGAAGGCCTGGCTGAGGCCGCGCAGGGACTGGCCCACCTTCTGGTACTCCTTCTTGAAGCCCGTCACCTGCTTGCGCGCGAACTCGGTGGCCGTGTGGTTGAGCTGCAGCGCGCTGTCGTCCATCCTCTTGGTGAAGCTGCGGAAGCCGTCGATGCGGCTCTCCACCTCCTGCAGGTCCAGCGCGGCCGCGGGCGGCGTGCTCAGCGTCAGGAAGAAGTTGGCGCCCACCATCTCGTCGCGCTCCGCCTTGCGCTTGCCCTGCTTCCAGGCCTTCTCGTCGGTGCCGCTGGGGCAGGTCAGGAAGTGCTGGAAGACGTCGCACTGCGCCAGCACCGGGTGGCTGGCCATGTGGTTCATCCACCACAGCAGGCCCTTCCTGCGCTTGGAGATGAAGTCCTCCTCGAAGCGCCCCGTCGCCTGCTTCTCGGGCAGGTGCGGCACCGAGATGACCGGGAACTTCTCGGCCAGGCGCGCGTACAGCCAGTCGAAGTGCTTGTAGCGCCGGTGCACCGGCACCTGCGTGTGCGTGGGCACCAGCTTGTAGGAGATGTAGCTCTTCATGCCCTTGAACTTGGTCTGCTTCGTGGGGTCGTCGATGGTGCACTGGAAGGGGTAGGGGTTCTCCTGCCACTCGGGGCCGTAGGGCCCCAGCACCACGCACAGCTTGTCGCCGTCCTTGACGAAGCCCGACGCCTCGCCCAGCACGAAGGCCTCGCCGCCCGACTTGACGAAGGTGGAGAAGCGGTTCAGGTTGCGGCTCACCGTGGCCGAGCTCTTGGCCCCCGACGCCGGGTGCTGCGCGGGCGCCGGGCCGCCGCGGGAGCCCAGCGACAGGTCGGAGCGCGTGGACAGG